TTCTTCAAGGTAGCATAGTATTCCATTGTGTGTATGTACCACAGTTTGTTTATCCATTCTTCAGTTGATGGGCACTTTGGATGCCTCCATCTTTTTGCTATTGTAAATAGTGCTGCTATGAACATTGGTGTGCATATATCTTCTTGGAATTGTGGCTCTTTTTTCTTGTGGGTAAATACCAAGTAGAGGAATTGGTGGATCATAAGGTATTTCTATTTTCAACCTTCTGAGGAAACGTCATATTGCTTTCTAGAGAGGTTGGACCCTAATGATCTTTTTTTGAAGATGTATCTTCTGTTGGCTCTAGCTAGTCCAGGCTGGTCTGCTTGTCCTTGCTAGTGGCATTGTCCCACCTCTTAAGATTCTGGATGGGACTCAGGATTCCACCTAAGGTCCTATACTCTGTAAAGGCTTTGCACGAGGCCTATTTCACTGGGCAAGTTCTAGAACCCCTTTTTTAGGTATTCCAATCAGTTATAGACTGAAGACGGGCTTATAAGTTTTCTGTAATCATGTTTCCCAGCATTCCTTACTTACCCACTCAAGTGTCTATTTTACAACAGTAGACAAATGAAAACTAATATTCATAAGACAGTCAAGCATTAAGTATTATTTCCCCCTTTTCAAGTTGTGCCTAGATCCCTGTATCCCAGAGCCCTGTTGTTCAAGGTTGAGCATGCATCACTATTCACCTCTGTTCCACTTAGGCCATGCAAACCTGTCTGAGTGTTCCCCTATTTATCCTGGTCTTCCGCCTCCTCCCCCTTCTTGTATTACCCTCCCCAACACCCAAACTAAACTCCCCCACCCCAACCCCATTGCGGTTACCTTATATTCCATTAATTCTTCCCTCCATTTAAGAGAGTCTATTTTATCGTGTAATCTACCTGACCTTCCTATTACCTGGATCTCTGTTCCTCTGTGTTTACCTTCTTTCACATTGTAATTGTTTTGATCATAGACTGACCTCCCAGTTCTGTTCTTACAATTTTATTCTGTTCTTGACTATTCCATTTGTTGATTTTGAGTTCAGGGTGATGCTGCCACGTACGTCATTCTGTAGTTGTCTGTTCTTGTTGGTTCTCAGTCCACAGAACTTCCTTTAGGATGTTTTTCATTGCAGGGTTGGCTTTGGCAAAATCCCTTAGCTTCTGTTTATCCTGCAATGTTTTGATTATACCATCGTATTTGATTGACAGCTTTTCTGGGTAGAGGATTCTTGGGTGGCAGTTTTTTTCTTTCAGGGTTTTATATATGTCTCCCCATTGCCTTCTTGCCTGCATGGTTTCTCTTGAGAGATCTGAGCTTAATCTGATTTGCTTGCCTTTGTATGTTACACTTCTCTTTTCCCTAGCTGCTTTCAGGATTCTGTCCTTATCTTTGATTTTGGTGAGCTTAATTATTATATGTCTTGGTGATTGTCTTTTAGGGCCTATCCTTCCTGGGGTTCGTTGAGCTTCTTGAATGCTTATCTTTTGCTTTTCAGGATGCTAGGGAAATTTTCTTCTTGAAGCTCTTCAGCTATTTCCTCTGTGGACTTGTGTGATTCTTCCTGTTCCAGAATGCCAGTAATTCTTAAGTTATTCCTCTTCATGTTGTCCAACATGAATCTTAGGCCTTCTTCAAAATTTTTTTTATCCTTTTTGAGTTTGCTCTTCTAAGTAGTGTTGAGAGATTTATCTTCTAGCTCACTAGTTCAGGCTTCTTTCACTTCAGTTCTACTCCTTTGCCCTTTCAGTGTATTGTCCATTTCTAATATTCTATTATTAATCGTTTGGACCTCTTTCTGTAGGTTTTTAATTGTTTTCCATGCTGTATCTATCATACTTGATTGTTCTGTAGTGCTTTCCTGACTTCCTTATTTTTCTCAACTCCATTGTATAGTGTTTTGATATATTTTATAATTATTTTTCTGAATTCCTTCTCAGGCATTTCCATAACCTGCTCATCTTTCAGTATGGAGTGTAGGTCTACTTCCAGCTCATTTACCGCAGTCACTTTATCTCGTTTCTGGACATGTGCCGATATGTTTTTGGGGCATATTCAGGAGTTAGCTATGGCCTTAATACTTACATGGGTGTGTATTTGGGTATTTTTTTATGCTTTCTGATTGCCTCCAGGTAGATTTGATCAGGATGTGGACTTCCCTTTTCACTCTTCTTCCTGAGAAATTTCAAGATGCCACTTTTGTTCTTTCTGACGTAACTCAGGATTTAATATTTGGCCTATTTCCTTTTTGGTGTGCCTGTCCTGCTTCGCAATCCCCGTCAGGCCTTTTTTCTAGTTATAAACAGTTAAGTGCTGGCTGTAGCTGTTTGATTTTTAAGTGGAAACAGTTTCTTTCAATTCTGAGGAGAATCTCTGTGCATGTGTAGTAGAACTCTCCAGGGTGGAGGTGGGGTGTCCACTCTCTCAGGCACCCCCTCTAGTCACCAGAACGGAGGTGCGCAGACAGCAAGACACCAATGAACAGATACAAAAAAAAGATTGTCCATAGCTTTTTCTCTGCAGTTCTGTCAGGCGTCCATGGCTGCTCTCATCCTTCCCCTGCTTGGTGTCACCCAAAATGGTGGCTCTGGGAGCAGCTGAGCGTCTTAGGTTAGAAAGCAATGGATTTCTTGCTTCTGCTACAAATTCCCCTAGCTGTAAACCTTCCAGCCTTCTAAATATTCCTTTATATGTTGTGCAGAGTTCTGGCACCATCCCCTGAACCTGCTTGGTCCTGTATTCTGTGTTGTTGCTGACTGTGTTGGAGCTCTTCACTGCACGTCCACCCGATCTGACATCTTGTTTGTTCTCCATGTCATAGGTTCTTGTTCATATATTACCTATTGAACATAGACTCCCCCCCCCCCCGCCAGTGTTTCCAGATTAAAATTTTTGCACTAAGAGATTTGTATGTGCATTTTAAAATTTTTTGTTGTTGAGATTATACACTTAAAAGGTTACACCAATCCAACATGTTTAATTCAGCAGCATTTATGACATTCTTCCAAGTTGCGCAACCATTCTCACCCTTGTTTTCTGCATGTTCATCCTCCAGTAACGTAAACTCACTGCTTCCTGATATTTTATTTACATTTAAAAAATTAACTTTTTTAAAAAATTAAATTTAAATTTAGTATATCCAATGCTAAATTTGCCAAAAGAGATAAATGTTGACCACTTCTTTTTAAAAATGTTTTATTGTGAATTATGTGGTAGTTTACTTGGGAGAACATTAGTTTGCCATTCATCCTATCGTATATCGTTTCGTTGCCATGGTTACAATCCCCTCCATGGATCCATCAACCAACCAAGGGTATATCCTACAAGCCTGGCCCCCCGCCCCCTGGTCGTCAGCATGCAGCCCCTCTCCCTCTCTGGGTCTGAAGTCTCCAGCTGCTGCATCTTTCCATGTCATCATCTCTGCCTCCATCTCAGGCATCACTGCTTCTCTGGGTAGTCCCGCTCTATGCTCTTCTCCCTTCATGGTCCCAGGACCTCCGCTCCTAGACTGCAAAGTTAATCACTCTCCTCTTTTCTACAAAATGTCTACCTTTACATTTCCAGCCCTCACAAGCAGTCCTGATAACAATTACTCACTGTTGTATCACAGGAGACCTATCCACATTTCCTTTTATCAGCTCTGCCTAGAAAGATTGCATACTACTCAGTGGAGATTCTGCCTTGCTCCATGCCCTCTGGATCTAGGTTCCCTCTTGAAAGTTTGTAAGCCAGTCACTTCTTGTTTTTGTAGCCCCCCCCATTCTGGGTAGCCAATGTCCAAGTTGCCCATCCCTGTCTACTCTGTATATGGAGGGGGTGGGAATGATCCTTGCTGTAAAGATTGATTCCCTCTTTTGAGCTATGGCATCCATAGGTTTCGGTCAAGTTCATCAAATTGTATCAGATTACTCCTCTTCTTTTTTTTTTTTCCCTCTTCTTTCATCTAGTTGAGTTCTGATCATCCAGTCATTGAAGCAAGTCAAGTGGGTATTATCTGCAAGTGTGGGTGTTCTTGTGCATATGCCCTCTCTTCTAATCAGCTGGATGCTTCACTCTCCACTCTAGTCTTCTGTGGCTATACCACTGACTCTGGGCCCAAGAGTCGCCAATTGACCACTTATTTTGCACATTAACCCTGTGTACACCTTCCATCTTTTTATGCTTTTTGCATCATTCAATATTTTACCCACTGATTCCTTCAATATTGCAAGTTAATAGTTGAATTTCTTTCAGCTTGAGAAATATTGAGCAAGTTCTTTGGTGGTTTTCTAACTCAAGGAAGGTCTGTTTCATTATAATACTTGACTCATTCTTCTTGAGCTGTTTTCTGAAATTTCTGTTTAGCTCTTAGACTTCCTCATATCTTCCACTGACTTTATCATCTGTATGCTGAAGAGTGTGCATTATGAATAGCACCAGAATATAGTAAGACACAGTCCAAAGAAAATTACCAGCAGTAAAGATGGACATTATATAATGATAGAAGGATGACTTCACCGAGAATACATAGCAATCCTAGATTCTTATTCACTGAACAACTGAGCTAGAAAGCATACAAATAAACAACGATAGACCCAAAAGAAGAACTAGACAAACCCACAATTGTAGTTGGGAACTTGAACTTCCCTCTCAAGAATAGATAGCACTAGTAGGTACTGTTGGAGTTCTGGTGTGGGACTGTGGGATAAGCTCTGGTTTGCTACCCAAAAGGTTGGTACTTCAAATCTACCAGCCTCTCTTGGAAATCTTATACAGGGTTACTATGAATGAGAATCAATTGCAATTAACACAGAGACATTATGAAATATATAAAAGAACACTTAAAAGACCATCAAACAACAGGGTCTTCTGGTCAGTGGTAGAACACTCCACTAAAGAAACTCAGAATGCAGGCAAGGTTTTTGTTTTTGTATTTAAAATTCTCCGGGAGTAGTTACAAGGAGTACTCGTGGTGTATTGGTTAAAGCTCTCTACTGCTAACCAAAAGGTCAGCATTTGGAACCCACCAGCTTCTCCTCAGAGACAGATGTGGCATTCTGCATCTGTAAAGATTTCAGACTTAGAAACCATATTGGAATCCACTCGATGGCAGTGGTTTTATTCTTCATTTTTAGTTGTGCGCATTTACTAAGCAGAGACACAACTGTGGCTTTCTTTTCTCTCTTCTGCGTCTTCACATACTGTGATTTGAGCTGATTAAGAGTCAGAAAGGAGCCCTGGTGGTACTATGAGATAAGCATTGGGCTGATAATTGAAAAATTGTTGGTTCAAACCTACCAGCCGCTCCTTGGGAGAAAGATGAGTCAGAATCGATTCAATGGCAGTAGGTTTGGGGTTGGGGATAGGAGTGGGGGGGGGTGTGTGTCAGATGATGTTTGTGTTACTGTCTTTCCTTATTTTAAGTGCACGTGGTTTGTTCGTATTTTTAAAGAGTGGAAGAGGCAGAAAGATCTTTACTCTGCCGTTTCTGTTTTGCTTATTAACCACTATTTATTTGCCATCTATGTAAGATGCAAGTAACCATTGAGTCTTTTCATTTTCTGGAGACCTGGTTGAATTTTGTTTTTTCGCTTTGCAGTCTGAGCTCAGCTGTATGGAAGGTAGCTGCACATGTTCCTTCCCAACCAGTGAACTAGAGAAGGTCCTTCCCCAGACCATCCTATATAAATACTATGAACGGAAGGCAGAAGAGGAAGTCGCTGCAGCCTATGCTGATGAGCTCGTCAGGTGAGTTCTGCAAGTTGGTTGTTCTGGCATCTTGTTCTGCAGACTGCCTGAGCACTCCCATCAGATGATGACAATTCTTCTAGCTAGTTCTCCTAGATCACCTGGCACTTCTTACTGAAAAACAAAAGGATGATGTTATTAATGAGGAAATCTGCAGCTCATATTTTAATCAACATTCTCTAGGTGGTTCTTAATCTTTTAACCCCTGGCCACTGATTTGGAGGAAAAGGGACACATATCAGAGTCACTCTGCAGTGCTGTTGTTGGGTATCATCACATCAATTCCAACTTGATTCCTTGTGACTTAGCAGAACTACCCTATAGGGTTTCCGAGGCTTATTCTTTACAAGAGCAAATCTTTGTGTTCCATACTAGCCAGGTCTTTTTCCTATGAAACTGCTTGTTGTTGTTGTTAAGTGCCATCTAGTAGGTTCCAACCCACAGCAACTCTGTATAGGGTTTCCGAGGAGCCACTGGTGAACTTGAACCGTTGACCTTGCACTTCAAACCGACTTTGCAGTCTAGCACATTAGCCCACAAGTTCAAAACATGTCTTTTGGTTAACAGCCCAGCATCTTAACTGTTGTGCCACCAGGGCTGCTTTTCTCAGTAGGATTTAATTGAGTAGTTTATGCTGAGTCAGCCCCCCAGGATGATGTCTGCATTTCCTGAGGAGAGGCAGCACAAAGTAGGTGCTCTGTTAAATTTTTTTTTTTTTCCTTTTCTCTGTTCATTTTGAATGAGAACCAAGGAATAAGAAAAAAGTACCTCATTTCAATGAGGAGCTCCTGAGTAGTGCAGACTGTTAAAGAGCACTTTGCTTATCAAAATGTTGGTGGTTTGTCCACCTACAGGTACCTCAGAAGAAAGGCTTGGTTATCTATGTCTAAAAATTCAGCCATGAAAATCTATGGAGCATAGTTATCTTATATACATTTTACCACAATAAAAATTTTAAAGGGTCCTGAGACCTTCAAGCAGATTACAGGGGATGGAAGCAGTATGGCTGTCCAACTCAAAACCCCATCTTGTGTGAGCAGTCTCTAGGAAACTAACTGGACTCAAGTATTTCAAGTAAATACTACTTTTCTCTTGAACTCCAGGTGTCCTTCCTGTAGTTTCCCTGCTTTGTTGGACAGTGACGTGAAAAGGTTCAGCTGTCCCAACCCTCGCTGCCGAAAGGTAGGAAAGCACACTTCTTAGGTGGATGATTGAATCCTTGTTAGTACAGGCTACTACCCAGTTGTCTGATATTTGTTTGCATGTGGGGCCATGAGAAGGACTTGGGTGCTGGCCTTTTCATGAAAGTAAATCAAGATTGGTGCCTGGTGACCAAACAGTGGTTGACGTGTGGTTACAGAGATGGGGGCGGCTTGTGTAATGCCAGCCACAAAGCCCTGCATCCCTATTTTTGGGCACTCTTCCTAAAAGACAAGATGCTAGAATTTGCTATGTGAAGGTTCGCTGTGCCAGCAGTTCTTGTTTGTTTCTTTTCCCACTCTTTACTCCAAGCACCACCACCACCACCACGCCCCTTGCATTTTCAAAGTCCTGAGTCATTTCTTTCACTAAAGGACTGGATGTCATTGTGGCATCGTTACCTTTTCTGGTACGTAATTCACTTGACTCTTCTTATTAGAACTGACTATTGGATGAGACCAGAGCCTTCTGGTCACTTGGATTCTGAAAATCATTTCTCTGGTTAACTGTGTTCCTACCCTGTGAACTAAAAAGGTCTTAAAGTTTGTCAGGTATATATAGGCTGCTTACATTTCCTAGTTGGTGTTGGTACCTACCTAGACAAGTATGCCCATTTTAAGCCATGTTTCTAAAACAGCATCTTCAGAGTCAAAAATGGCAATATATTTTGTCTAGTGGGGGAGTGAGGAAATTAAGTTAAGAGAATGAGGAAGAAGAAAAAATAAATAAATGGCCAAAAACTCAACTCCTTTGGATTTGGGATCTGGCTGCATTCTTAAAACAATGGTTGGTGGTTGTGTGCAGTCGAGTTAGTTCTGATTCATAGCTACCCTGTATAGGGTTTCCGAGGCTGTAAATCTGTACAGAAGCAGAAAGCCTCATCTTTGTCTTGCAGAGCACCTGGTAGATTCCAACTGCTAACCTTGTGGTTAGCAGCCTAACTTATAACCCACTGCGCCACTAGGAGTCTTTTAAAAATGATATAGCCATTTAATCATTGGTCCCCACTCCGGGATATTGCCGTAACAACAATTCCAGCACTCTTGTGGTTTCTAGGAATGAAGAAAACATAATAATATGGAGTGTTTGCTTGCAGTGGACTGCCCAGACTAAAGCTCAGAGGTAGTAGCAAAAGCAGGAAAGGGTGGAAGGTCCATTGGCAACCTACAGAGAGGTGCTGTAGGTCCGTGCTAGATTTGATGGCTCAAGATCTGGGTGATCAGAATGGGCTTTGAATTCCATTCTGAGGAGTCTGGATACAGTCCTTATAGGAGCATGGGATGACATCAGGGAGATCTGTTTGGCTGTGAATGGAAGTTCTGGAAATCACATATCCTGCAGAGTTAGAGTTCATCAGCAAAAGTACTCATGCAATTTGGAAGGCGAAAGAGGAGGGGAGACCGTAATTCTCCAGAGACAGTTCCAGGCAGGCGTGAGGCTCACTTGAATCTGAGACAGTGTCCAGGCCTGATGAGTGTCTTGAAAATGTTCCAGCCTGGAGCACCAGTGAGAGTTTTCCAGGAGTTCTTAGGATTTCAGGAAGACGCACAGGCACTCTACTTGCTCTCCAGGTGATGGAGGCGATACATGCGCGCATGCCGTGACGTTGGAGCCAGCCAGGTAGCTCCTTGTCAGTGCAGTGTGGGGAGAATTCATAGCAGCACCACTTCTATCACTGTGGCTCTTTTTGCTCTGCCAAGCCAGAGACGCAGCATGAATGAGAAATTCCTTTGTCGTAAGTTCCTCGAGTGTGAGTTTTTTCCGACAGCATCACCTAGCGTACTGTAGCTGAGGATCAAAACTCAGGACCTGGACAAAAAGAGCAGGTTTGAAAGGTAATACAGAGATCGGATTAGGTGCTGAGAACCCAGATGTGAGGTGGGAAAGTTGTCTCCCAGGTTTTGCTGGTTGGGGCAGCTAAGTGAATTTTGATGTTATTCACATGGTTGAAAATATAACAGAAAACAATTTCAGGAGAGAGAATGTTAATTTTGTTGGACATGTTGAGTTTTGAGAGTGGTGACATCCACAATGCATATGTTTTTCTATGTGGCACAAAGTTGTTGTGGTTGTTGTTAGGTGCAGTCAAGTTGGTTCCGACCCATAACAACCCTATATAGGGTTTCCAAGGAGCAACTGGTGAGCTTGAACCGCCAACCTTGCAGTTCATATGGCTTTGCTGTCTGGCGCATTAACCCACACAGCGCTCAGCAAATACTTGGAAGTGACTAGGGTCTGGAATGCAATGTGAGTTTAGGCTAGAGAAAAATATCAGAGTTGGGAGTGAGAAGCACTTTTGCCCCCAGGCAATACACAGATGGGAAACTTAGCAAGGGAACACCAGAAATGTCGGGTGGGGGAGATCTGAGAATTACATCAGAGAGGTCCAAGAATGCTGTTGGTATTTTGATTGAATCATATCACATCTCAGTGGGAACAGAGAAATTACTGCCTTCACAATGTTGATCCCTATTGTCTTAAGATCAGAGTGTGTCTTTTCATGCCTTTACATCAGTTTGTGTTTCTTGGTAATGTTTTCACATAAAGAAAAAGCAGAGTAAAGCATGTTAGTGTGCCTTGGAAGTTGACCTGTTCACATTCTAGACTTACTTTATACTGCTTAGGGTTTGGTCTGCAAGTGCTTGGAGTAAACGTACCAGGGATAATGAGGTGAAAAGTGCATTTCATGGGAGGCTGAACAGTGACAGCATGTGGAGATGACTTGGCCAGTCCAGTAAATTATAACCAAGCCCCATCTTTTGAATGCCAGTCAGCCCGTCTGTCTGCATTCTGAGCCTGTGCAGAGAGTCACCACTAGGTGGCACTGAGACCCCACAAGGAAACATGACTTCTTTTCTCTAGTCTGGGTATTTGAAAAATATGCATGTCAGCAAAACATGGCCTTGTGAGCAGAACTGACAAAATACTTGTAGGCTCAGCAAGAGGCAGACCACCAGGCTCATTTGGAATTCCACACTGGAGCCAGCAGTGTTCTCCAGGCTGACGTTCTTAACTTCCTAACTCATACAAATTCTCCTTCTTTCTTCCTCTTCCGCTGACTCCTCATCCTTGAGGATTCCTAATGTTTAAGAAATGAGGCACAAACAAATTGTACCCCATATGAGGCCAAGGGCATCTGTCTTCTCATTGCAAAATCTTTGCCAGAAGTGGTAACTCCCATTCAATTTCCAGGAACATGTCACTTGGAGAAGGAGTTGATATTAATGCATTATCTGGAGGAGGGCTGGCATTCCTGGAATCCCTGAAGAATATGAAGCCATGTCTTTGATGAAACAGGGAGTGAGTCTTTGTTTCTCTGATATGATGGAATGCTCCCTCATGGGTTCTGAGATAAAGAATTCATCCATTTGTTCTGAGCGTGCTGCTGTTAGGAATGGATTGAATGTTTGCTGTGTGGCTGCAGAAAGTGAAACAAAAGATTTTTGAAAGTGCTATTTTGGGGAAATGTTTTCTGAGGGTCTGAAGTATCTTTACATCCTTTTGTAACCATCACTTGTCTTTACATAAACCCAGAGGTGTTTAATTAGAGGTTTTCAGAAAGTGATCTTGGGGCCACAAGGTAAAGGTTAAGCAGTGCTCATGAAGTGAATGCTGAAGAGATGAGACTTAAAAGGAGTGAGACTTTCATCAGAATAATTGCAAATCATGCCTAATGTGGCACCTTCTACTTAGAATTGCAAGCATGGCTTTGGCTGTGCAACCACATGCCCTTTTCCGGAGTCACTCATATTTGTGTTGATTTATTATTTCTCTCCTCCAGCTATCTTCCCTACTGATCCGTTCTACTCTTTTCTGTCTTGGCCCTAGCTTTTGTGGCATCCATTGTTAACTGACTCTGTAGCAGTGAAATGTAACCCAAATACACATCTAAAAAGCAGGCATCTGCTGCAGCCACAGTGTGGTTGTGTGAAGAGCATTTTCCCTAGCAGCTCCAGCTGTGGCAGCCGGGTCCGGTACTCACTGATACCCTCCTGAGGCCAGAAAGAACCTTCATTCCAGAAGTGATAAGAAAAGAAATTTGGTCTTGCTCACTGGAGTGTCCTAGCAAGCATTGAGGTGGCATGGAAATTCCTTAGCATGGAACATGCTGAGTCACTTCTGTGGAGCCATAGGTGTTCAGGTTGCAAAGTATCAGGCCTCGAGTCTCTATAGGGTCTTTCCTTAATATAGGTATCATGTCTTCAGGAGGCTGGCAAAGCTCTGCTCACTTTGGTCTTCACAGCACAAAATGGTCACTAAGGCTTGAGGTCAGATAATGTAAGAGATGGAGCTGCAGCTAACCCAGCACTTCTGAGAATTCGAAGCAAACAGGTCCCAAGCCCTGTCCCTGCAGAAGCATCCTTCTCCCAGCCCATGAGCAGCACTGACATGGAAGCAACAAGGTGTCAGGATCTCACTCTGTTTTCTCTTAAGGGTTGGACCGTATCCATGCTATCAAATCCCCCATAGTAACTAGGACCTGTTCTTTATGGGTCTCTAAACCCTGAAAGACCTTGGTTTATACACACACACACACACACACACACACACACACGATATCGTAATGCCTTAAATGCTTTTGAGTTTGTTTTGTTTTAAGAATAAAAGTAACAAAAGGTAAATCTTGCTTACTTCTCTTCCCATCCTGCCTTCTTCCCATTGACAGTCAAATGAATGCCATGTTCTCTCTGATGTGCAGCGATTGTTTAAAAGGGAACTAGATACCTAGGAAATAGGAAAGATAAGCATATATGTGAGCTAAATTAAAACATCATACGGTTAAAGATTTTATTCCTTTGACTTCAGCCCAACAGAAAATTTGTATTCCTGAATTTCTCTTAGTTCATCCATTTATATTGGACATTGACTGGTCAATACCCATCCTGGGCTCCCCTCCTCCCCCCCCCCCAATATGGCACCCAGCTTGAGTGTATTGAGGGGAGGGACCCACATGTGTACATGTGTTAATACAGTCACTAAAA